GCAAAAGTTTCTTTATGTTTCTAAACAAATGTTTCTCTTCTGAACTTTATTATGTTTATACTTATTTCAGGAAATGTTTATAAACAAAATAGTTCCCTTAACGTGAACTTTATAAACAGAAGTTTCGTTATTTTTTATAGCAAAAGTTTCTTTATGTTTACAAACAAAAGTTTCACTTAATCTTAACTCTGTTTATAAACAAAAGTCTTTCTGTTTAGAAAGTCTTTCTGTTTAGAAACAAACGTTTCTCTTGATCTGATATATGTTTATAAATAAAAGTTTTTCTTATTTGTGATTATGTTTATGAACAAAAGTTTGGTTATGTTTATAAGCAAAAGTTTCTCTTGATCTGGTGTATGTTTATAAACATAAGTTTCTCTAAAATGTTTGTGGAAACAAGTATCACTATACGTAAAAAAGTTTAATGTCTGTTTATAAACAAAAGTTTCGCTGAATCGTCAGTTTCTTTATAAATAAAGCAGACTTTAGACTTTGTGACATACACAACTCTAGAGTCTACGGTACCGATTTTTTGCTTCCCTCTTCAAGTTGTTTTAATTTTCTAGACTACAGTATATACCGTAGTGATGCTGCAACAGCATCATATGCTAAATTACTTACATATGAACGTATGTATATATGTACATGTAAGTAAATACACATGTCTCTACACATGTATATAAACATCCTAACTAAACCTATAAATGTTAAGGGCGCGACTGACTACTCCAGTGCTAACAAATTGTAAAGTTTCCATAAATTTTTTTCTTGTTTTAATTCCTTGTTTTTTCCCCATTATGCGCTTCTTGCATTTCCACATATAACCCATTTATTTGTCCCGGCTTGTTAAACTAACCATCATCATGTATGGTACTTCATTGCCATCATCAGTAGTATCAGCAGGAGCAAAAGCATCATCGGGGGGTTTTTTTGGAAACATTTATAGAAATGAACATTTATAGGAAAATCCCATATGCCAGCTGCCTTTTAATTTGCGTTACACTACAATTTATGTTATTAATACCCGGGTTACATATGCCCTACCTACTACGGGAAACTTAACAAACATTGTGTCTCCCTCCTTAGCCGAAAGTGGAAGAAAATGTTTATATAGTAGTTTTTTATGGATCTATCTATAGTAGGTTTATAAGCAAAAATAAATATCGGGTAGGCGGGCGTTATTGCTTATTGTCTGGCCTGTGCTAAGAGAATGTTGTTGCCTTTTTTATTCTCTAAACGTCCCTTTTCTGTAGGCGTTTTGCTGTTTGGTTGGAGTTATTTTTTGTTCATATGAAACTGTATTTAAGTGGTTTAACTGAGTGTAGGTTAGTTTTGTTATTGAGATTAAGAAAATTTACGTTAACATTTTCTGTGAATAGCAACAGCTGAGGTTTTGCCAAATTATGAATGGTTTTTTAAAAAAAAGAAGAAATTAATAAATTTAAATTAAAATTGTTTAATATAAAACCAGAGAAAAAAAACGTAGTTAAGTGGTTGAGAAATTTATTTAACAGCTGAGCTGCAAAAAAGAAAACTTATTATTAAACGTTGGTTGAAAATTTATTTAAAATAGGAAGGACGGACTCTTTGAAATTAAATTTAGAAAATTTATTGAGTTTTATCATTTTACTAAACTTTGATTCTTTTATATACAAAAGTTTCATTGATAGTGGTTTTGTCTATAAAAATAAATTTAATAAACATAAATTTTACTTAAATGTCGTTATGTTTATAAACAAATGTATCTGCATAACTGTTGATATGTTGCTAAGTTTGTCTTGAACTTGTTTATAAACAAATTAGTTAAATGTTGTTTATAGAATTTCAAGAATTTTTTTTCTAAAAAATTTAATTTTTTAAAGAACCCAGCGTGGAAAGACATTAGTTCTGTTCTAGTTCGGTACTAGTTCTGTTCTATTTCTGTTCTATTTCTGTTCTAGTTCTGTTCTAGTTCTGTTCTAGTTCTGTTCTTGTTCTGTTCTAGTTCTGTTCTAGTTCTGTTCTAGTTCTGTTCTATTCTAGTTCTGTTATAGTTCTGTTCTAGTTCTGTTCTAGTTCTATTATAGTTCTGTTATAGTTCTGTTCTAGTTCTGTTCTAGTTCTGTTCTAGTTCTGTTCTAGTTCTGTTCTAGTTCTGTTCTAGTTCTGTTCTATTTCTGTTCTATTTCTGTTCTAGTTCTGTTCTAGTTGTGATGATTGTAAAAGTTTCACTTAATTGTCTCAAAGCTAAATTGTTTCTTTATACATGCTGCTATGTTTATAAACAAAAGTTTCGTTTAGTCGGGTTATGTTGATAAACAAATGTTTCCGTATACATGTTGTCATGTTTATCTTACTTAAATAAGGAGAATGTGGTTGTGTTCATAAACATATGTTTTGTTTCATTGAGTCTGTGTTTATAAACAATTGTTTCTCTTAATTGTAGCTTTGTTTAGAAACAAAAGTTTTACATTTTAACAGCATTGTTTATAAACTAAAGTCTGACTTTAGCACGTTTGATTTATGAACAATAGTTTGTCAAAGCTAAATTGTTTCTTTATACATGCTGCTATGTTTATAAACAAAAGTTTCGTTTAGTCGGGTTATGTTGATAAACAAATGTTTCCGTATACATGTTGTCATGTTTATCTTACTTAAATAAGGAGAATGTGGTTGTGTTCATAAACATATGTTTTGTTTCATTGAGTCTGTGTTTATAAACAATTGTTTCTCTTAATTGTGGCTTTGTTTAGAAACAAAAGTTTTACATTTTAACAGCATTGTTTATAAACTAAAGTCTGACTTTAGCACGTTTGATTTATGAACAATAGTTTGTCTTTATCAGGACTCTAATTATAAACTTAATGGTGGCTTTGTTGGGAAGCAAAAGTTTCTCTCTGTTTATAAACCAAAGTAAGGCTGAAAGTTGCTCTGTTCATGTTTTGTTTAAACGTGTTTATAAACAAGTGTTTAATGCAATTGCGACTATGTTTGTAAACAAAAGTTTCTGCTAATTGCTGGTTTAATAGAGATAAGGTTTATAAACAAAAGTCTGACTTAATTACGGTTAAGTCCTCTTTATGAGGATTATATTTGTAAACATTATAGAGGCTCTGTTTATAAACATAAGTTGCTCTAGTTACAAAAACATGTTTCGTTTAATCGTTTTTATAAACAAAGGTTGTAGGTAGTTATGACTTTTGTTTATAAACATAATTTCATCTTATGTTTATAAACAAAAATTTCTGTTAATTGTTGATTTGTTTATAAACAAAAGTTTCTATTGGTTTGTTTATAAACAACTCTTTCTCTAACTAGTGGCTATGTTTATAAACAAAAGTTTCATGAAAATGTTTCACTTATGCAAATTAATTTCTATTTGTCATCTCTGCTGATTGAACACATTTTTTTTATAATTTATTAGAAATCATTAACAATTCTTTATCTGTTTAAAGTTTTATATTATTTTTCATCCGCTTTTTGTATAAAATTTCCTGTGCAACTATTTGGTTTCCCTAAAAACCACATATGACCAAAAGTTAAATAAAGTTAAAACTATTTAAATTGCGGATTTAGTACTTATGTTTAAATAAAAATCATTGGGTTTAACAAATGCATACAACAAATAGCGCCCTTTATATGGAACAGTGAAACAGTGAAAAGCAAAAAATGGGCCATAGAGTTGCGATAACAAAATAAACAGGGGACTTTTCTGAAAATATGTAGATGAAATAGGTCTGTGATGTAATTTATTCGAACTATTACTTAGATGTAGATAATGCTAATTGGTTAAAGTCTAAAATAATTACTTAAATACATGATTACATGTCAGTTATTAATAGACTACTTATAAGTAATGCAGATGGTAGGTAGTAGTGATTGAAAAGTAGGTTCTGCTAAGTTCTAGTAGAAAATTTCCCTTTTGTTTGCTATCAACATGACAAAGGTAGCAGGTAAGCTTATATTGCCCCTTACTTTACAGCACATTTTCATTACATTGTTCTAATTCATTACTTATATAACAAGCGACTTTTCGTTTACTATCAGCATGACATACTGCTGCATATTAGCAGATTTTGTCTTTACTATATATACCCCTTACTAAGGGATTTTGTCCCTATAAAAGTCACTGTTTAAACACCCTTACTTTTTATAGATTTTTTTCTTAAAAAAAAATAAACTTTGTTAGTTGATTAGGCTTTTGGGTCAAAACTTTGTCCTGCTCTTAAACATTGCCTTGCTATTTCAATAAATGTATGTGACTATATAGTATGTTTAGTAAAGTTTAGAAGTTATTTTTTCATATATATCTTTTTTTGTTTGTAAATAATTTTCAGCAAGAGTTTCAAGAGTTAAAGAGATCAATAAAGCAAAATCAAATGTTACCACAACAACATTTAACAAGCACTCATGGATACCAATACACACACACACGCGCACATGTATACACTCAACTAGTAAAGTGAAATACTAAGCCATACTAGAAAAATTATATGAATTTATACTACAGCAAGAGTTTTTATCCTTTTACCAGGATAAATGTTTATATAAAAAGTTAAATGTACAACTTTTTTTCCAATAGATTTTGTTGTTGTTGCTGTTGCCATACTTGAAAAGCTTTTAATAAAAAAGTTTAAAAAAATACAATATTTCAGCTCTTTTTTTTTGCAGTGTTTTTGGTTAAGAGTAGTATTTTGTTGCTTTAACAGTAGTTTATCAAGGATTAGTTTTTATTATTAAATATATACATATATTTTTTGCTCCTGCTGCTAACATTGTAGCGGGTGGTGGGCATGTTGCTAATGCTAAGAGTTGAGTAAATATTTTGATAAAATTTAATTAAATATAAAGTTGTTCATACAGGAAGACAGCAACAACAAAAAAAGGGTGGTGGTGATGGTCATATGGCCCTCGATTATGACACTCACATGATGGGTCAGTCTGTCAGTATTTGCTTGTTATACACTATACTTTTCTACTTATATTTTATTTAGTTGGAAAGTTTATATTCCAACACTTACCTTCATATACTGTTAGTGTAGCATCTGCTGATACAGCATCGCCTACACCATTCTCTGCTACGCACTCATAGGGAGCATCATCACGTCCAGCACGTACAGGCTCAATGCGTAATATTGAAACACCGCCGGGTTGTTCCAGCACCGTATAACGTGATTGGGTACCTAAGGGAGTAAAAATGGTAGAAAAAAAATTTATTAGAAATTTTATATAGAGACATGCAGACTTACACATACATATGTATGTGTATTCGTGCAAATCTTTTATGAGCAAAAAAAGAAATTCATTTAACAGTAAATAAATATTGAATTATTTAATAAAGTGGACAATAATCTTGATTAAATATAATAAGAAAAGACACAATTTTGTAAAAGAACATTTAAGCAAGTTTTTGTTTTTTAAATAAAGTGTAATTTTCTAAAGAAACTAAACTTAATTTTATAAAAAATGTCTCTTCCTCTCTCTTAAATACGCTATAGAAAGCTTATTACTTTCTTAAATATGTTATAGAAATCCTCTTACTCTCTCAAATCTATTAATAGACAATTTCTCGCTAATTTTAATCTGATTAGAAACAACATTTCTCTCTTTAAAATAGATAGATAGATTAGAAGATAGATATATCGATAGATAGAAGATAGATAGTAGATTGATAGATATGAAGTAATAACATAGACGATAGACAAGATAGATAGATAGATAGATAGATAGATAGATAGATGATATAGCTAGATAGATAAAGATAGATAGATAGATGAGTAGATCGATAGATGAATAGCTAATCGATATGATAGATAGATAGATAGATCGTAGAAGATAGAGAGATGATAGATAGAGATCGATAGATCGCTAGATAGATATAGCTAGATAGATGATCGATAGATAGATAGATAGATCGCTCGATAGATCGATAGATAGCTAGCGATCGCTCTAGATAGATCGCTAGATGCTCGCTTAGCTCGTAGCATTGATAGCTCGATCGCTGCTGACTCGATTTACTCGTGCTCTCGCAGAAATACAACTAGGCCACTTACGGCCTCTTGTACGCCTCTCTTAAGGTCCAATAGAAAATTGTTCGCTCTCTTATATATTTCGTATAAAATATTCTCTTTCCGATATTTTCATAAAAATTTTAACGCTTTAATTTTTTTCTGATAAACAAATTGTTTTCCGCACTTATATTTTTCTTTTTTTTAAAAAGTTTTCCTCTTTTCGCCTCTTTAGTATAACAATTGTTAATTCTCTTATATTTTCAATTATTCATTCTTCTTTTTATATATTCTATGAAAACAGTTCGTTTTCGTATATTTTTGTTGAAAATTATCTGCTCTGTTTTACGTTCTATAGAAAATCGTTTGATCTCTTACATTTTCCACAGAAATGATTGGTTCCCTTATATTTTCTTCAAAAAATTATCTGTTCTCTTATGTTTTACTAAGTAATTTTTCACTTTCATATATATTCTTAAGAAAACTGTTCACTTTTTTTCCAGTTTTATGTAAAAAACTTACCCGATACTTTTTTGCCATTTTTACGCCAAACTATCGATGGTGGTGGATCTCCTCTAGCTGCACAATAAAATGTTGCCACTCCTCCTACACGAACGCCCTGATTCTGAGGCTTCTTGATGATCTCCGGTGGATCTAAATTAAAGATATAAAAGAAAAAGAAGAATTTAGTAAATTTAGATCTCCTTAGCTTTTTTAGCTTAGCTTTTTTTTAAAGCTTTAAGCTTTAATCACAAAGAATGACATTTTTAAATTTTTTATGGTGTCTGCAGAAAAACGTGTCCTTTTTGGAAAAAAGTGCTTTTTATATTGTTAAGATTTTTATTTGTATAAAAAATAACTGGCAAATTACCGACCAATAGGATTACTTTGGTTTTAAGGTTTGCCAGTGCTTGGCCACGATTCTGTTGTGTTTTGCTTTTTTTTTTTGCTTTTACTTTGCTAAATTGCTGCAGCATTGGCTATTGTTTGGATATAAATTGTTGATTCGTGACAAATTCTGAAAATTACATATTCCCAGTTTTATTTTTATTTTACCGTGTTTCCCAGCAATATTGATTTTTAATACATTTTTAAGGTAATGTAAGGAAAGATATTCCTTGTTTTGTTTTTTCGGTTTGCAGGGGTGCTATAAGTTGTACTACATGTTCTCTAGCGTCCACATGACACATGAGCCCTGCATGTTGACTTGTATTTTTTTTTTTGTTCTTTATAAAATTTATTGTCATTTTTGCTATGAATTCGATTTAAAATTCATGTTAAAAAAATATGGGAATATGTATCTATATATATGTAAGCTTATTCTCTCTACTTTATTTGCCAAGTGCAGCACGAATGTATCATGCAAGTGTCACGTAAAGTAAAGAAAAATTTGTTTAAAAAGAGTTTCATTTTACTTTTTTAGATCTTTAAATGTTTACTTAAAGTATAAAACATGTAAAAGAGGAGGTAATGCTAAGAAGTACCAAGAATTGTTAGTTAGAAAGAATAGGGGAAAAAACTTTTTCTAAAGTTGAATTTTAAATTTTGATAATTAAGTAATTTTAAGATTTCAGTCTCGAGTTCGAATCCCGCTTTTATTGATTTTATTATTATAAAATTTCTTTAATTTTGTTATTTTAGTTATTAATCCTTCAAAACTTACGTGTTAAATATTGTATATATGGAAAATCCGAAAAATTTGCATCTGCAACAATTTCAGGAACAATTAAATTTTTTTGTTTTATTTTTTTATTTTTCATAAAATTTTTTTATTTATTTTAATATTATTTTAAAATTATTGTCAAATTTATTTTAGTTAAAAATGTTTAATATTTTTTTTTGTTTTTGTAGTTTTTAGTTTTTTTAAGATTTTTTTTTAATTTTGAGTTTTTGTTTTATAAACGTAGAGTTTTTGTTATATTTTGTTTATAATTTTTCACAATTATGTCCCCATTTTATGTTTTATTTAGTTTTTGATTTGTTAGGAAATATTACTTAAAAATTAACTTAAAATATCTACTTTAAACTAACATTATTTCAAACACTTATAAGTATAATATAAAAATAAAAATGTTCATCAGAATTGTTTGTTAAAAGTCATATTTACTTTCTTTTCAAATAGTATTCTTAAAGTATACTTCATTATTTATACCCTACACCACTATAGTGGAGTAGGGTATTATGCGTTTATGCTAATGTTTGTAGCATCCAAAATATTGGTCATACACCCATCTTGAAGTATAGCAAACGGCTCAGAATCACTTTCGATTCAGTTATGTCCCTCTGTCCATCCGTCAGTCTGTGTGTCCTTGTGTCCAACTGAACTAGAACTGAACTAGAACTGAACTAGAACTGAACTAGAACTGAACTAGAACTAGAACTGAACTAGAACTGAACTAGAACTGAACTAGAACTGAACTAGAACTGAACTAGAACTGAACTAGAACTGAACTAGAACTGAACTAGAACTGAACTAGAACTGAACTAGAACTGAACTAGAACTGAACTAGAACTGAACTAGAACTGAACTAGAACTGAACTAGAACTGAACTAGAACTGAACTAGAACTGAACTAGAACTGAACTAGAACTGAACTAGAACTGAACTAGAACTGAACTAGAACTGAACTAGAACTGAACTAGAACTGAACTAGAACTGAACTAGAACTGAACTAGAACTGAACTAGAACTGAACTAGAACTGAACTAGAACTGAACTAGAACTGAACTAGAACTGAACTAGAACTGAACTAGAACTGAACTAGAACTGAACTAGAACTGAACTAGAACTGAACTAGAACTGAACTAGAACTGAACTAGAACTGAACTAGAACTGAACTAGAACTGAACTAGAACTGAACTAGAACTGAACTAGAACTGAACTAGAACTGACTAGAACTGACTAGAACTGAACTAGAACTGAACTAGAACTGAACTAGAACTGAACTAGAACTGAACTAGAACTGAACTAGAACTGAACTAGAACTGAACTAGAACTGAACTAGAACTGAACTAGAACTGAACTAGAACTGAACTAGAACTGAACTAGAACTGAACTAGAACTGAACTAGAACTGAACTAGAACTGAACTAGAACTGAACTAGAACTGAACTAGAACTGAACTAGAACTGAACTAGAACTGAACTAGAACTGAACTAGAACTGAACTAGAACTGACTAGAACTGAACTAGAGAACTAGAACTGAACTAGAACTGAACTAGAACTGAACTAGAACTGAACTAGAACTGAACTAGAACTGAACTAGAACTGAACTAGAACTGAACTAGAACTGAACTAGAACTGAACTAGAACTGAACTAGAACTGAACTAGAACGAACTAGAACTGAACTAGAACTGAACTAGAACTGAACTAGAACTGAACTAGAACTGAACTAGAACTGAACTAGAACTGAACTAGAACTGAACTAGAACTGAACTAGAACTGAACTGAACTGACTAGAACTGAACAGAACTGAACTAGAACTGAACTAGAACTAAACTAGAACTAAACTAGAACTGAACTAGAACTGAACTAGAACTGAACTAGAACTGAACTAGAAATGAACCAGAAAAGTATACTTTTAAAATACTTAAGTGTCGGAGCAGTAATATACATTTTATAAAAATAATATTATTAACAAAAAATGAAAAAAAAAATCAAAATAATGTTCACATTTCTGGAATTAAACCTAAAGCATAAATCAGAGAAGAAAATTAAAAATTATGTATACAAACTAGATACAACAACAATATATAACACTTAAGCTGCATGTTGTTGTTGTTGTTTTCATTGTGTTTTTCTATATAATGATAAATTTTAAACAATATTTTCATGCATTGTTTGGCAATTTTGCTCATATCTCCTTTATTTATGAAACAATTTTACTAATTTAAAATATCGATATTTCTCGAAAGCTTATCAAAAGAATTATTAAAGTTTTGGATCCCTTAGATATATGGGGTCTTCAGAAAATTGATTTCAACAGATAAACGGATGGACGGACATATTTTCATTCCTTTATATATTAGAATATAGAACACGTGCAGTATAGGATCGAGAAAATTATATTGTGGAAATTACAAATGGTATCACACACTTATGTATACCATTCTCATGAAGGTTATGTTTATTTTAAAGAAGTTTATTGCATAATTTCGGGAGCTAAGTTAAAACCCGCTTTCCTATAACCATCTAAACATGACACATATTTCAATCAGAGTGTCAGTTTTCTACTGTCAAATTACTTTTGTCATTAAACACATTCTATTAAAACTGTAATTTTTAAACATTTCTTTTTTATGATTTTGTTTATGTGTAGATAAAGTATTAATTATTTTCAGAATACTATTAAAATGATTACTAATTAAATGTTTGTAATTACAGCAGACATATCAGAAGATAAGGAAAAAATATTTAAAAAAACACACATAATTACAAAGCAATTAATTGAAATGCTATGATATTCTACTCATATGGCAAAATAATAAAATACTTTTAAACGCTAAACTTAAATTTCCTGAAAATATGCAACATTTTCTTATAATTTTAAACTTTTAATTATAGCTTTATAGCAGTCATAAATACTATAAAGTTATAGAAACTTTTAAAATACACAACTATTAATTAAATTATTACAAGTAAAAATATAAAAGCATACATATAGGAGCTTGTTAAATCAAATTTAAGAGTAGGTACATTTAAACAGGTGGCTTTAACTAAATATCAATTTATATTAAAATTTAATATAAATTCTTTGAAAAATATCTTTATATTTTTGAAAATACACTCCCTCATCTACAACTTCCCCTGTTGCAAAATACCTACACAAAACCATATCTTTTTTTTCAAACATTATTACAATATAATAGAGAAGAAAACCTATCAATTTTCATATTTGATTTCAATATGATTATTATGATGGCAAAAAAAAAAAGAATAAAAATACAAATAATTTCAATACAAAGAACAGAAATGTCTCAGAATATACAAAAATATGTGTATTTACACAATATCTACTACGGGGCAAATAGAAACAGAAGCGCTGAAGAAATAAAGAAGACGAAAAAAAAAACACTGAACTATAACGAGACGTTAGAGAAGATGATGACGATGATTTGATTTGAGAAATATGGTACTTAAACTGATACTTGACAGTTATAGAAAAAAATAAACTCCAGATGTATGCAAAAAAAGCAGACAAAAAAACAAACACTAACCGATAGACGTGATGTTAAAAAACAAGGACCAACATTATAAGGAACAACAAAACGACATTTAAACCAGCTACAGCAAAAGTTTGCTTAAAAATACTTATTTTTTCTTAATTAAAAGTATCGAAAAGGTTTTCTAAAAATTGCCTAAAATTATGCTTTAGTTTTTATTAACACCTAAAATTAAATAATTTTTCAGTTTGTCATTATTTTGCTTGCATTTCCTTAGTTAAGCTTAATATACCTCCCAAATATTGTAGCTTTTGGTGCGTACATAAACATGTATACTTGTTAAAGAGCTTTGAGTTTCGATACATAAAAACGTCTTAAGAATGTTAAGCTCAAATACTAGTAGCAATACAAAAAAAATATATATGGTAAAAATTATGCAAATTGTATTATGTTCAAGAGTAAGGAATATTATTTTTTTCTGTAAATATTAAAATATGTCTTGAAATATTGCAAAAAAATATGTTTAAAAAATGTTAAGCAAAAAAAGAACAATTTTAAAGAAATTTTTTGTAGCCATAGGGTAATTTTTAATAAATAATCTTAAGCATATGTTGAGGCAAATAAAATGTACTTGAATAAAATGAAAGTATAATTAATAATTAAAGTGAGAAGTGCTTTAAAGAAAACTTAATTAAAAAACAATTTATTTATGATTAATTAAAATATTTAATTTGTAGATTTTTTTTTGAAAGTTTAAATCATAGAAAGATTTAGAAACTGAACTAGAACAGAAGTAAAACTTAAAGAGAACTGAACTTGAAAGATTTGGAAACTGAACAAGAACTGAGCTAGAACTGAGCCAGAACTGAGCCAGAACTGAACTAGAACTGAACTAGAACTGAGCCAGAACTGAACTAGAACTGAACTAGAACTGAACTAGAACTGAACTAGAACTGAACTAGAACTGAACTAGAACTGAACTAGAACTGAACTAGAACTGAACTAGAACTGAACTAAAACTAAACTAGAACTGAACTAGAACTGAACTAGAACTGAACTAGAACTGAACTAGAACTGAACTAGAACTGAACTAGAACTGAACTAGAACTGAACTAGAACTGAACTAGAACTGAACTAGAACTGAACTAGAACTGAACTAGAACTGAACTAGAACTGAACTAGAACTGAACTAGAAATGAACTAGAACTGAACTAGAACTGAACTAGAACTGAAATAGAACTGACTAGAACTGAACTGAATTAGAACTGAACTGAATTAGAACTGAACTGAATTGGAACTGAACTAGAACTGAACTAGAACTGAACTAGAACTGAACTAGAACTGAACTAGAACTGAACTAGAACTGAACTAGAACGAACTAGAACTGAACTAGAACTGAACTAGAAGTGAACTAGAACTGAACTAGAACTGAACTATAACTGAACTATAACTAAACTATAACTGAAACTATAACTGAACTATAACTGAACTAGAACTGAACTAGAACTGAACTAGAACTGAACTAGAACTGAACTAGAACTGAA